CGATAAGGAGCTAATTTTGTATTGTAAAAGCGCACCCGATCTTTGATAGGGAGATTGATACATTCCACCCCAGGACGGGGATATCTTAGAGCGTTCGATCCGTTAACCTGAATCCAAACGGTTCAGTGTGTGGCAACTGCACAACAAACATCAAATCCAGGGTATGCTCCAGTAATATATCAGACGCTGAAAGAAACATTCGCTTCTCAATCAGATCTCTATGATTTTGGATTGTGGATTTGATGTGAAATTACCCACTTTGCTATATTTCCACAACTTCGCTTTTCGAGACATTGCGGCTTCGCAAACGCGTAGCGCTTAGAGCCGTTGCTAAATCGCTCTGCTATATGTTTCAATGGAAAACATAGGATTGGAGCTTACTTAAGTTTTATAGGATCTTGGAAGGCGCGACGATTTGGAGAGTTGGTTTTACATGACCATAGAAATGACGAGAGGCACATTACCATGGAGATTAGTGACAGGTTATGAATAAGTAATTTAGTACGAAAATAACACTCAGACTACTCGAAAAGAGTGATAGGAAAGTTTTAGCCGCAAAAATCCCGCTCATTTCCAATATTCGATTCCAGATCGTGCTGCCGTACAAGCAGCCAAACAAGCCGCTCGAGCAGCTGGCCGGATTCAGTTTCTTTTCGAGACACCCAAACAGTACGATCAAATCCTTACGATGATAGACTCATACGTATTCGATTCAGTACCAGATTACGAAAAAATTTATAAAATACTCGATGAGGTTTGCCAATTTACTTATTGTAAGATATTATTCAGATCAGCTGATTATTTTGCAGGTTCGTGAAGAGAAAGGTTTTCGCATGAATGAACATTGGGATTGGGAAGATGAGGAATCGTTATCAAACACGACAAATACAGTGACTAGTTATTCAGAACGTGAACTGAGGGCTAAGAAAGATTGAAAGAAGAAAAAAACGTCAACTGTCATTACAAAATTCTTCAATTACTCGATGCTGATCTATTCAAATATTTGTTTGCTGATCTGATATGTTGGTGATGGCTTCTGTGATGCTCGACTAATAGACGCCATCTATTTTCTTAGCGGTATAAAGGTTGCAGAATTTGTTATTTTTTAAGTTCATTTTGCTCAATATTTAACTGAGTTAACAATGCTCAGCAATCTGCATTTGTATAATTTACACAAACTCATCAGAGCAAATTTCTTTATATAATCGATGCTTGATAGATGATAGATGCAACTGCTACGACCGTTTATATTCTATCTTTTATAGTCACAAAAAAATTTACTTACCTTTCCTCACCAAAGAGCAGAATGCAAGTTGCGGTTCGTTTTGGAAAGGTGAGATAGGTTTGAACAGTTTTTCACGGGCTGTATTCCCACAAAGCTAATTCATTAGAGCAGTTGACCTACATTACGTCAATGTATACAATGAAAGTGGTATAAAACAGCACTTTACATCTACACTGTAGGAAACAACGTGGTAGATAAAATCAACTAGCCATAATTAGCACTATTACGGTCACACTTAAACAGCATTAGTAAGTGCAGGACATAAAAATTTTGCCA